AGTGTGAAGAGTTTATGGTCATATAAAGTCACTGTCATGTTTTTTTTGGTTTTATTTTGTTTCTGACCAGCCTCCACACTTCTTTTTTAATTATACTTTTTGAAAAATTTTGGCTGCATGGGGTCTTAGTTGCCACACACAGCAACAAACATCCACTTGTCTTTTTAAATTTAATTTAATTAAAAAAAATTTTTTTTGGCCACATGGTATCTTTGTTGTAGTGCACAGACTCTCTAGCTGTAGCAGCGTGAGCTCAGTTATCCTTCGGCATGAAGGATCTCAGTTCTTCGACTAGGTATAAAACCCATGTCTTCTGCATTGCAATGTGAATTCTTAACCACCAGAAAACCAGGGAAGTCCCCACTCTTCCTTTTTTGTGGCAGTATTACTCTGAGCAATAATCCCACTTTGCCCCAGTCTCAGTTCATGTGCTTTCAATTAAAACCAATTACTGCCTTAAGTTCATGAACAATGTGACAGACCCGAGACAGTAAATTCAGCACTCTCCCTGGCCTCAAGTGAGTCTGGAATGCATCAGAATCTATAAGATGTACCAAGATTATTTCTGGGAATAATGGGACAAAGATTCTGGACTACTCTCCTGACTAAAGATACAGCCCTGGGGGATGCTAGCAGCCATCTTGTGACCAGGTGTGTGAGATAACCCTGAAGAAGCTGAGTGAGGAGAGAGTTGTGTTTGTTTCACTGGGCCCTTTCCTGAGCCATGTATACTCCTGCTGTTCAGTTACCTCAACTCACACAGATTCCCTTGTGTTTACTCCAGTTTGGGCTGATTCCATGTCAACTGTAATAATTGCACAGTTAATTCGTGACAATCCTGACACCAGCTTTTTGACTTAAATCTAAGGTTCTTTCTACCCTACCATGTTGCCTCTTTGTTCAGGAGTCAAAAACACAGACCTTTTAAGATGTCTTCATCATATCTTTTGCCTTCCTTCATAGTCTATTATGCATTCTTAGAAATGCAAATCCATCACATGGAATTCATTCATGAGCCATTACACATACATGTTTGGGCATGATATTCCCTATATACTTGGAACAATTGTACAATCGTACAGATCAGAGAAAAGCTAATTCCAAAACTTTTTGTTAAATAAAGTTATTTTTATTTTAAGGTAACTCTGGATCACTTTAAGCCTTAGGGACACCACCCACCAAGCATGGCTATGTTCAGGAGTTGTGGTCATCAAATTCAATCATATATTACAGTAGTTGTTTGAAATTCAGAGCACATTTAGCCTAAGAAAAAGTATTCTAACTGGTTACTTAGATTAGCACAGAAAAGCTAATTTAAACTGTGGTGTTATGGTGTGCATGAATGCTCAGTGTGTCTAACTCTTTGTGACCCTATGTAGCCCACCAGGCTCTTCTGTCCATTGGATTTTTCAGAAAAGAATACTGGAAGGGGTTGCCATTTCCTTGTCCAGGGATTGAACCCATCTCCTGTGTCTCCTGCATTGCCTGTGGATTCTTTACCACTGAGTCACCAGGGAAGCCCAATTTAAATTAAAATATGGCTAAATTACTCTGTATTTGAATGAGAAATGCTAGAACAGAGTATTTTCACAAAACTAACCATAAAACTTTTTTTAAATATTAAGAGGATGGTACTTAAACAAGGAGATTTGCAGGTGGAAGATGAGAAGGTAAATGAAAGTGTATGACCATTCCAAAGAGGCTCCAGAGTCACTGCAAAGGCCATAGTGGTTGATGATTTAGGTCCTTTACTGTACTTGATTTCATATAAAAATGTGTCTTTTCTTTTGCATGATACAATAAAAAACTCTATTCTTAAACTTCAAAACCACACAAAGATGGAACTGAGAAAGGGAAAATACAAAAGAGATTTTCATTTTCTCTTTTGATGTATGTTTCAAGTGCAAAGACTCCATCTTCAGATGTTACTTTCTAGAGAAGAAAATATACATGTAAACCCAAGAGTGCACTGCTGAGCTGGCAGAGAATTAGAGGCACATAGAAAGGAAGAGTAGGGCCTTAGCATGTGGGCTAGTGGTTCCCAGAGGAGGAGTCTGAGGTATGTGGTAAAAAACTTGATGAGCCAAAAACAGGACCTGTGAAGAGAGAGCTTTGTGCAGGTAAATAAAAGCGTAGGTTACAAGTCAGAGACTTGTTTGGGCACTATGTGAAGTTTAGAGTGAAGGAAGAAAAAAATGGAGAGACAAATGTTTGAACTTCTGGTCTGAAGGTTATGGAAAACTTTTTAATAGGGCTCTTGCAAGGTAAATAGAAGATAGTTGGAAGAGAGAGGGTGGGGGTGCAGCATTAAAAGGAAAGGGAAGGTGTGGGTAAGTAAATGTATAAAATGAGAGTGTCATATAGGCTGTAAACTAAGTTTAAAAAGCATGTGAGAAAAGTGAAGAGTAAAACACATGGAGAATTGTGCAAGGTGAGAGAAGTAATTAATAGCAGAGGTGGACAGAGTCCAGACTCAGCATAACCTAAGTACAAGTGGCCCGATGAATTCGCAGGTTCCTCATCGAACAATCTGAGGTTCGTTAGCTGACTCTGCAGACAGGGAGCTGGCGGGTAGAGAGGGTTGGCTGTACTATGCCATTTCATATAAGGGACTTGAGCACCCGTGGATTTTGGTATCCACAGGTAGCCTGGAACCAGTCCCTTGTGGATACAGAGGGACAGTTATGCATTAATGCTCAGTAGAACTCCCGGGAGAGGCTGATGGAATCCACATGCACTGGTTAGATTAGCCTGCAGATTTCAATGTGTGGCAGTGTCCATGTCAAGAACTCCTAATTTAGAATTACCTTTATTTTAAAGTTAAAGCTTATTGGGGTCACTCTGTACAATACCTGAAATGTCAAAGCTGGGAAGCACAAGATTTTGGTTAGAATGGCAAGTGTCTGGTGCCTAGAAAGGAAGGGATTGTGCTATGGTGAGAAACACATTTTATTACGACATGCAATGCACGGGTAGGGAAGTAGAAAATGCACTGCCAGTTAATAGCCACCTATTGACCCGAGGCGATATTAAATGGATTGTTCTGAATGTCCCCCAGGCTTGTGCTCAGCAGCATCAACATTCATCCTTGGAGTCTGCATTTTTAATGGAAAACTACTGTGAATGGTAGTGCTGAAAGCAGAAAGGCCAAACCTTTCCTTGGTTGTAGCTGCACAATTCTTTCCCAAGCTCATTTGTGCTTTAGTGATTTCACTTTGCTTGGCCTTTTACAACTTGGCAGATCGGGAAGTGAAGGTGAGAGACTCAGCAGATTTTAAAACAAATTTTACTCCAAATGTTCCCTTAATACTAGTATTTCTTAGACAGAGATTCCTGATGTTTTAATGAACTGTTCTTGGTGTTTTGTTTTTTTTTTGGTGTTTCTTTAAAAGCATCCTTTGGCATTTGTGAATGTGCCACGACTTTTGCTCTTTTTTTTTTTTTTGCTGTTTTTTTTTCTTTTTCCATTTATTTTTATTAGTTGGAGACTAATTACTTTACAATATTGTAGTGTTTTTTGCCATACATTGACATGAATCAGCCATGGACTTACATGTATTCCCCATCCCGATCCCCCCTTCCACCTCTCTCTCCATCCGATCCCTCTGGGTCTTCCCAGTGCACCAGCCCTGAACACTTGTTTCATGCATCCAGCCTGGGCTGGTGATCTGCCTCACCCTTGATAATTTCGATGCTGTTCTCTTGAAACATCCCACCCTCACCTTCTCCCACAGAGTCCAAAATTCTGTTCTGTACATCTGTGTCTCTTTTTATGTTTTGCATATAGGGTTATCGTTACCATCTTTCTAAATTCCATATATATGCATTAGTATACTGTATTGGTGTTTATCTTTCTGGCTTACTTCACTCTGTATAATGGGCTCCAGTTTCATCCATCTCATTAGAACTGATTCAAATGAATTCTTTTTAATGGCTGAGTAGCTCTTAATTTGGACTCACTGATATTTTCCTTAAAAGCAGGAAAGGCACTTCTTGGTAATCAGGTGAAATATAAGGTTTTTTTTGACTCTTTCTTGAAAGTTGCTGAATGTAGTGATAACTTTGGGGTGGTAGCCTTGAGAAATGTCAGCTGGCAGGAAAAAAGAGAAGTGCCTCTCTGTTGTTTCCTACACTGCTCTGTGAGATCTGACTTTTAAAAATCCTTTGTTAGTTTGCATTACATTTTCAAATGCACTCAAAGTAATTAGCACCCTGAATTGAATCTTGTTGTCACATTTAATTATTAGATGGCTACTTTCCTTTAGGGTATTTGACAGTTGCCCAAAATGTTAGTCTTAATCTAAAACCAAGAAGAGACCTTTGACATAGTGAAAGCCACCAAAATGGCATTTATTAAATATAAATGGTGAGTGCCTGAAGGAGAGGTGAGAAGAGAGTGCTAATTCTCATCCTGAAATGAAAATTCCTCCAGTATGAAAGAGAAATTATATTACCTCTTAGCAGAAGCTTCATCAGTTTTACTTATCACATGGATGATTTTAGAATGTGTGTATTTCTATAATGTGTGACATTTGCATTCATAGAGAGTTATGACTCTCAACTTCTATCTCTGATTTGCCAAAATTCCTGTAAATACAATGGTTTCTATTAGTCTATTATCTGGAAAATGACTTGAAAAAATTAAATGATACTGATTTAAAATGAAGAAAGCTTATTTATGTGCATTTTTATTTATGTGCATTCAACCCTAAGTGAATCAGCTAAATATATACACCAAGAAACAAAAGTGTTACCCTCTGAGTAGTATTTTATCATAGATTGGAAACGTGAAACTTATTAATAGTGTTACAAATTAAGTGCACAATGAAATGTACACACTATTGGAGCTCTTCAGTGGTAATTATTCCTTAAAAGCTAGAAATTGCCTTTATCTCTATGATATAAGAGAAAAGATACTATTAAAGCCCCTAGAAATTATCACCATATTTGAAGCATCTTTCACTTGGTCAAAGAAGCACAGGCCAAGTTCTGGTACTTACTATGTAAGGACTATGGCGACTGCATCGTTCAACACACTCTCCCCAAACAAGAGTGTGTACAGGTCCGGGTCGACATGCAGTTCATGGAAAATGGCCAACACCGTCACTAGGGGAGACACACACAAATATACAGAGTTAGTTGGGATGTGGCCATAGACTTGTCCTTGGCTGTGGTCACCTGTATAAAGCACTCATTAAATGTTCATCTTCTCAAATCCATCAATAGATACATACTGAACCTTTAACCAAAATCAACCTCATCAGTCACTGCCCTGCTTAAAAGATTTCTCTGGGCTCCACATTGCTTACAGAGAAAGCTTGAGCTCCTTGGTACAAGTCTTGTATAATCTGTGTACTGTTTGCCTTCCAGCATCTCTGTCTGAACTCCCTGCCCGCCCTCTGCTGCCTCCCTCTAGCCATGCTGAACTTGTCAGAATTTCCTGAACACAGTGTGTCATCTTCTAATTACCTTGGCATTTGGGTTCACTTCAGCAGGGCAGCTATCTGTTTCTCATTCAGATGCTACCATTCTCCTCTTTCCTTAAATACATAAACCGAGACACACACACACACACACACACACACACACTTTTTGCTACAAAAAACCCCAAACCTTTATTCAATCTTTAAAGGCCTCTCAAGTTTCCCCCAGCCCTCTGATCCCTCGGTCACTCCTTTTTGATCCCAGAATTTGGGATCACAGAACATATCATAGAAAAGACTGTGAGCTCTTGGCACATGCTCAGAAGTGTTTGATGTGTGAATGACTGAGTGAGTGAATGAATGAAGGTTGTGACAGCAGCTTATTCCTGTGAAGGGAGAGGTGGTTGGTACCTGGCTCTCATTCTCTCAACATCACACTCATCTATACAGATGGACCCAATGTTCCTAAGAGCAGGGCCTAAGGATTCGTTTTCGGCAGTCTGCTTCATGGCTCCTATATACCGTAGTTGTGCAGAGCTTCTGGGCATATACCTGGGCAGTGAGCAATCACACACTGATTAACTGTGTTCATCAAAACTATTCAGTGTCTCGATGTTTGAAACAGTCATGCAGTGTGAACAGCTATCATTAGGAGAATGATCCACTGAGTTGATTGCCAAAGGGAAAGAGAGGGTGGTTGAAAATGATACTGATGGTAAATTTTTAAGGCAGAATGGGCATTTTCATTTCTGTTCTTTCCTTTACTATTTCATGTGCTGTGAGGTTAATAACTGTGTAGTTTAAGAGAGTGCTGGGGAGAAAAAAAAGCTCAGTTGGACTGTTTTGTAAGTAGGGTCAATAAGTTTGGTACTTGTCCTGCCATAATGGGAGGGTTTTAGTGACAGAGTGACACAATTTGATTTAAACCTTGGAAATCAAGTTTAGGCAGCAGGGTAGAGGACAGAATGGACATGCGGCTGGAAGATTTCCCGAATGTTCTGGCAAGAGATGAGTTGTACCAAGACTGGAAGAGTCCTAGATTCAGGCTCCTCAACTCTTGTACATCCTGCTCTTTTCTGAACATCTACCACCCTGGGTTCTTATAGGTCAGTGACCACAGTGCTTTGTATTTTACTTACTCATTTGTTCTCACCTTCCCTCTGGGTCACTAACCCCTAGCATGTTGCCAGACTATGGTTAGCTTTAGTGAGTGAAAAGATAATGTCAGGGAGGATAGGGCAGAGGTGATAATACCCACAATATATTTGGGATGAAGAACTGGTAGGTCTTGGTGCTTGAGAGAAAGCAAGATTTGGGTTTCAACCCTGGGCAGGCAGTAAATGGGCTGCAAAAGAGAAATTTGTAGACAGGGGAATTTTGCAAGTTTGGTTTTTGATATGTTGACTTAAATAGGCAGGTGGAATTTCAAATGGAAATTTCAATAAGAAAGCTAGAAGTAAAAGGTTATCACTAGAGGCTTCCCTGGTGGCTCAGGAAAGGGACATGGGTTTCATCCCTGGTCTGGGAAATTCCCACACGCCCTGAAGCAACTTTGCCCCTGCGCCACAGTTACTGAGCTTGCACTCTAGAGTCTGGTAGTTACAACTCCTAAAGCCCAAGTTCCTTAGAGCCTGTGTTCTACAAGAGAAGTCACAAAGGTGAGAAGCCTTTGCACCATAACTAGAGAGAGAATAACCTGCATAGCAATGAAGACCCAGCACTGCAAAAAATAAAAAAATTAAGGTTGTAACTATACAGAGTTAAAGCAGAAGAAAGAATTTAAGGGTAATAAGCATGGAGGTAGAACATAAAGCCACAGGAGTGGCTGAGATTGCCTGGGTGAAGTATATAGAAAGAGAGAGTTCATGAGAGCTCCTTGGGAGATACTCACAGATAAGGGATACATGGAGAAAAAGAAACATCAAATATACATGTGGGGTATTTGCAAAACCTGATCCTAAGCACGAGCAAGTGGCTGAAAACCATATCCATCAGGAATAGATTTTTATTTACTAAAGATTATCCTAGGGAAAGGAGTATTGAACCTAACAACTAGCTTTGGGGTAAAGAGACAACAAATACAGAATGCCATGCATCAGCATGACGATTAGCCAGATTCCGTTTTACTAGGCGTAGAGTCGATTTCATTATTCTAGATGAATAGATCCTTAATCATGATAGAATGGCAGAGATGTACCCTCTACTAGTGTACAGCTGTTCACATTTGTACCACCCCTGAGACTTTGCAGGTGGTGGTGGGAGGGGGCTGATGATTTTCTCTGCTAAGTAACCTCTTTCTCCTGCTAGGATAGAGTCAAGATCCTGAATCGAATCAAAACAAAAAGGCTTCAGTTGGGAGTTTTATTCTTCTGTTTTTTGGAGCACCATAGGCATGTGGAATCTTAGTTTCCTGACAAATGACTGAACTGTGCCCCCTGCCTTGGAACTAAAGGGTCATAACCACTGGACCACCAGGGAGGTCCACAATTGGGAGTTTGAATTACCAACATTTTCCTTTTACTAGAATTTTGTGTGGAATAAAAGTAAAATTATAATTTTTATTGGAATATAATTGCTTTATAATGTTGGGTTAATTTCTGCTGAACAACAATGTGAATCAGCCATATGTATACATATATCCCCTCCCTCTTGAGCTTCCCTCCCACCCCCACCCCCATCCCACCCCTCAGATCATCACAGAGCACTTAGCTGAGTTCCCTGTGCTATAGAGCAGCTTCCCACTGTCTATTTTATACATGGTAGTATACATATGTCAATGCTACTATCATAATTTGTCCCACCCTCTCCTTCCCCTGTTGTGTCCACAAGTCTGTTCTCTATATCTGCATCTCTATTTCTGACCTGCAAACAGATTCATCAGTACCATTTTTCTAGATTCCATATATATGTGATAATATACGAAATTTGTTTTTCTCTTTCTAACTGATTTCACTCTGTATCACAGGCTCTAGGTTCATCCACACATTACAATTGAATCAGTTTCATTCCTTCTTATAGTTGAGTAATATTCCATTGTATATAGTTACCACATCTTCTTTATCCATTCATCTGTCAATGGGCATCTAAGTTGTTTCCACATCCTAACTATTGTAAATAATGCTGCAATGAACATTAGAGTATGTGTGTATTTTGAGTTATGGTTCTCAGGGTATATGCCAAGTAGTATGATTGCTGGGTCATATGGTAATTCTATGTTTAGTTTTTTGTTGTTGTTGTTACCTGTTTAGTTTTTTAAGGAACCTTTGTACTGATCTCCACAGTGGCTGTATCAATTAATCTCCAAAATATACAAACAGCACATGGAGCTCAATATCAAAAAAACCCAACAACCCAATAAAAAGAATGAGCAAAAGACCTAAATAAATATTTCTCCAGAAAAGACATACAGGTGGCCAACAGGTACATGAAAAGATGCTCAACATAACTAATTATTAGAGAAATGCCAATCAAAACTACAATGAGGTATCACCTCATGATGGTCAGAATGGCCATCATCAAAAAATCTACAAACAGTAAGTGCTGGAGAGGGTGTAGAGAAAAGGAAAACTTCTTACACTGTTGGTAGAGAGTTATTCTTAAGTTAGAAAATTCTCTCATGGAAGCTCTACTAATATGGACTTTAGTCTTTATAGTTGCTTATTTGTATTTCTAAGCTTTGAAGATGACTTGCAGCTTGTCTGCATTCCCAGGTACATGAGTTGCCTTGGCTCACAAATAGGGAGGTAAAGCCCTGGGTTTCTCTCCCCAGCTCCCCACTTATGCAGTCTGCCCTATGCTAGGATGGACTCTGAATCTACAGTGAGAGCTTTGGGCCTTTGGAGGGACAGGCTTTTAATTGAATATCCAGTTTTGTTCAAAACTGTTCTGACATTCCCACAATTCCTTTTACACAAAGAACTGAACTACACTGCATAAATGCTGTCCCCCACAAAGAAAAATCTATTACTTGGGGCATTCCTATCTACCCTGTGAAGAAATGGAACAGCTTTGAAATAAAACAAGGCAGTGTGTCCTACAAGAGGGAATATTTGCTGGGACCACAAATGAGTTGAATAGGTGAATCAAGAAATTAGCCACCCACTCTCACTGCTGAGCTGAGAGCTTTGAAAAATGCATGTAATTAGCTTGCAGGCAGGGCTCAGTCTCACACACAATGTCTGAGACTCTCACGGCACTTCTTCCCAAGAGAGAACCTCTTGGAACAGCTGTGGACATGCTCACACCGGCTCTGCTCGCACCTTGTTGGGTTTGTAAGGACAACCCAGGTCTGAGGCTGGGTTGAAGAGCCAGGTGTAGTTTGATCAGACTGCTTGGGATAATCTGAGGAGAACATTCCAGACACCATGTGGAGAGGAAGAGAAAAAGATACAATCTGATTTCTTTAACCTCTGATTTTACCAGGGAATTGTGTCATGCTTGCTTTTGTCATACTGTAGTTCTCATCACTTAGTGATGAGTTTCAACGCTCAGCTTGGGGTTTGGGGTTCCTTCCCCATACTTGACTTTTTAGCTAGAGAAAAATCTGTTTTGTCTCCTGATTTGGTAGTAAGGAATGCAAACATATATAACCTTATGCTCAAATACACACACACACATACACACACACACACACACACACACACACACACACACACACCCCTATTCCCATGTAAGAGCAGTGGA